CGCGCCCGGCCCGGCCCCGGCGGCAGCGCGGGGCTCCCCGGCGGCCTCCCGGGGCAAGCGAGCTGCCCCCCCGCCCCTTCGGCACCCAGCCTTGCTGCCTCCTGCTCTTTCGCATCTTTCCTTCTCCCCTTACGTAATTGGGTTTGTTTTGTTTTGTTTTGTTTTCTTTCTCTCCCTCCTTTTTATTTCTTCCCCGGCGCTGCCGTTGGCTGCGGGAATGTTTGGGATACTTTCGTTCTCCAGGTGGATTCCTGGGCTGGAGGCTCCGCTCTGCTCGAGTGGGAGGGATGTTTGCAGTTGCTTTTCCAGCTTTGAACGTTCCTTGAATTTTACTTTCGGTGCTGCTCGCTTCGCGAGAGGCTGAAGAAGTGGAGATGGGTATTCCCAGCTCTGTAACCTCCGAGGTACCCGCTGAGCCTCCTGTGCTCCGGGAGGGGTGGGCACGGGGCTGCTCTCTGAGCGAGGCCACACAGATTTTTAAAATAATAGTCTCAGTGCCCTCGTACTCACTTTCTGTGAGCACTTTTGAACGCTGGATGTGGTACACAGGGTTAAATGCAATAGTTTTGAAGACTGTGAGGAAGGTTTCGGGAGGGGATGTGTTTGCAGCACAAGAGGTTAGAGTCAAGTGGCTGAAACTTTGTTGTAATGTAGATAAGCTGATGCTGGTGCCCCAGGACACAGGGAGGTGACAGTTGAGCTTGAGGGGCACTGGCCTTGGTGCCTGGTACCAAGCCCCCAAGGCAGCCCCCGTGCAAGGGGGCCCACGGAGTGATGGTGGGGGGAGAACCCCTCAGCCTGGTGTGGGAATCTCAGCATCCCCTTGTCCCAGAAGATAAGTTGGCACTGGAGCATCGCCCCTCCTGCTGCCCTGGATTCAGCTGCACCCTGGGGAGGGCTGGAAAACGGAGCCCGTGGGGTGGTCTATGCTTGTGGGCAGCTGCAGCTTCCAGCTTTACCGTGGGTGGGCTGAGTGATGCTGTGCCATAGGATACGCCTTCTGTTTTTGCCCACCGACCCAGGCAGGACCTCTCTTCTCACTGTTGCCTTCTCTCCTTTATGGTTTCCCTCCTCAAAACAGTGAACTCGATTGCTCAGAGGAAATGATACCCACTGTCATATGAACAGCTGAGGCCGGGTGCCTGGGGATGGGAGACAGCACCCCTGAACCACGGCTGGGGAACTGGAGCTGGTTCTGATCTGACCCGCATCGGCACAGGGGGAGTTGCGGGGTGATCCAGCGACGGCCTGGCAGCTGGCATGGCGGGTGCTTCCTGCCCTCCTGCACGCACGCTCCTCCCCGGGCCTGGGAGCAGCCTGCCAGATGCACAGCCCTGAACCAGGAGGGATTTTCTCACCGCCCGATTTGGGCAGCCCGGGCACAGTGGGAGAGCATGGGCTGGGAGGTGTGAATTGCTGCCATGGGATCTTCTGCTCTTTCTGGGGTACCCCAGCTGGCCAGGACGTGTGCTTGGTCCTGTTCCCCCGAGAGTGCTTGTGCTGCTGAATTACACACACCTCCTCACTTGGGCTGCACAGAGCTCCTGCATCAGTTAAAGAGTGTTTTCAGTCCCAGAGCAGTGAGCTTCATGGGTAATTTAGAGGGCAAGAGTTTACAGGAGGGGAACAGTGCCAAGCAGGCTGCCCCACTCCCATGGGCTGCAGAGGACTTTGGCTAAAACTCCTCAGCTCTGTCCCTTGTGTACTGCCACTGGGAAAGGAGAGGGGGAGATGCTGTGGTGCCCTGTGTGCTGCTTTTAGAGAGGGGGTGGTGTGTGCAACCCTTGGGGGATAGGGAAGGAGCTGTGCCCCTGTTCCGCTTGGCTGCCACCCCCCCAACAGCACCCTCAGGAGATTTCCTCCACAGGTTCTTCCCTCTCTCTTTAACATGAGGACAAGCCAAGTCCCGCCAGCACTAAATATAGTCAAAGTATTTGTTCTTCGGCGCAGATACAAAAGCTGTCGTGACAGAGCCGGGAGGTAAATGGCCTTTGAGGGCTGACTCTGCTCTTCCCCTCCGCAGGTCCCGGGCTGCTGTGCCGGGGCTCGGCCGTGCGCGGGGCTCCCCAGCGTGGCTGCAGCGCCATCGCCAAGAGGAATGCTGAAACGAAGGGGCTAATGAGCACCAGAGAGGGAGGATCTATAACTTCCAGATGGCGATGAGCCCGTAATCCCTTTGGGAAGAATTAGGGATTCATCTGCACGGCAGAGACTGGAGAGGGGAGCAAAGAACAACGCCACCAGCTCTGGGAGTGCTGCGAGAGGCTGAGGGTATCCCGATGCCGGCCGCCCAGCCCCGAGCTGCCTGGCTTTGTCTCACGGAGCCCTCGTGCTGCTGGGAGCCCGTCTCCAAGTGCTGAACTATTTCTTGCTGTAATTGATCGCATGTTCTCCAACCAAACCCCATCCGGGTCCTGCTCCTCCCGACGCAGAGAGGGACTATTGCCCTTAACTGAAAGACTTCTGTCTTCTTCTGTTTATGTCCCGTGGGATTGTTAAGCATCATTCTTGCTGGATTTTATTTCCCATCAAAGCGCGTTTTGAGGAATTACGGGCTTATTCCTATGGCTTTATAAACTGCCAGGATCCAAAGGTCTCTGCCTTCCGCATCACTGCTGCTCCCACCTGTCTGCGATGGGGCGAGAGCAGGAGCTGATCCAGGCCGTGAAGAACAGGGATGTACCCAGCGTGCAGAAACTGGTGGCCAAGATCAAGGCATCCAAGAGCAGTGAGTACCTGGGTGCAGAGCTGTCAGCTTCATCTCCTTGGCCGGGCACTTCTGCCTGTCCCGGGGTGCAGGTCCCAGCAATGGACTTGGTGCTGTCCAAACTGGGGTGCAAGTGCTGACGCTGCACCCCATCCCACAAGCTGTGCTGCAGCTGGAGGTGGGAATGCAATTGCAGCCCATGCAGATGGATGACCGGGCTGTAAGTGATCCTCCTGGCAGGGCTAGGGTTCCCCTTGGGCTCCAGGCCAGGGGCCCTGAAATGTGGGTCACTGAGTAAGGATGAGTGGAGGGCAAGTGGAGCTCCTTGGGGGGGG